TATAAACCATACGGTTCTGATTTCGGAGACCCCGGCTGGTAGTGGTTAAAGTATATCTCTACAATTCTACAAATATTAGTAAAATTGTTGAAGTTAATTTTCTTGACTCCCAACAGTGCTTAAGGGAGAGATAACGTTGGTTGTGTGCAAATGTACATGTTAGTGGCCATTAAAGTGTGTAAGACGTGAAAAACAAATGAAAAATTAGTTTTTTTTCTAAAAAAACACATTTTTGCCATTTCAAAAAAATTTAATTATTGAAATCTGTGATTTCATGAAAATTATTTTGATTTAGATTGTGATTTAAATCAAAATTCAAATCAAAGTGATTCAAATACCCCAACCCTGGCACAGACTTCATTGAAATGTTATACATACCGAAGTATAATTTCTGAATCTCTCACTACGTGAGAAAAATTAAAACGAAGGATTAAGCATTTTTGGGCAGTGGCTACAGTGGTTTTAAGGTAAACACAGAATTGAAAAAAAAAATGCTCCTTCAAACATTGGTTTATGATGCATACATGTACACTTACGTTGGCATATCTTGTCTTTAACGTATCGTTCTACTTCCGTTTTCTCATGGGTTTCTGTACATCTTGGGCACTTTGCATACTTGGCTCGACCTTCACATTCCGTCAAAAGATGGTTGTTAAAAGCTGAAATCTCAACAACCTGAAATAAAAGATCAAATTAAATCACAGCTTACTCAAGATTTGGGAATATATCAGGGGGTAATATCCAATCATGCAGCATTTCACAACAAAAGGGATGGAGAATCAGACATGTACATGTACTATACACACAGACATAAAATGACATTGACGTGGGTGTATGGGGATGTGCTGAAACCAAACACCTAAGTTCTCATTCCCTGTGTGTGGAGTCATATGCTTTGAGGCCCCCATCTGCAGAAAATATGGAATAAATGCAACGCACAAACACAATATGCGTAAAAAACATATACTGGGTAATTATAGTGCCTTATGTATGAGAGTAATGCATTAAAGAGGTCTCTGAACTGAAAAAAATTGCTATTTTTGTGCCATAATTTGCTCAAAGTGAATTAATTTAGGATTTGCCCTGCCCGATGTGTATTTAAACACTGTATACTCAGTGTATGCCCTGAAGGTTTGTGAAAAAACCCACAAGCGCCTTCGGGTGGGACTCAAACCCACGACCTCCTGCTTACTAGTGCAGATGTCTTAACCACTCGACCCCGACTCCACCTTTGAAATAATTGCTCCAAGTGGTCACAACTTCATTAGTATTTAAAAATGTCAAAACACCAAAATAAGTGGAGGAGGGGCAGGGAAATGGAAAAATAACAAAACCCTCCATGTACTATGAACATCTCCTCACATCACTTGAACATGTCCCACAGAAATTCTGAGCAACTGTGTTGGACACAAAACAGGGCAACTCATTAAAAAAAGACCAAACTTTGCTAGCAGCAGCATGTCTGCCACTTCTTGCAGTCTCTGGCAATCCATTTGCCCTTGATATTAATACTTGCATGTTATTATCATTGGAAAATACGTTCATATATTGTGTGCATGTAATTATTATTATAATTATTAATTGTTTATGGTAATGTGGGGAGTTGCCCATATATTTATCATGTGTAATCTACATGCACATGGTATACGCCTTTAAGATCCTTTCAATGTTTACGTTGTTGCATAGCAACTGAGAGGGTCCCCTCACCCTTCACGTTGACGTGGCCTTGCGCCTCTATTGGAATTAGCTCCATTCAATTTTTATCATGATAACATAAAATTTGGCCGGGGTGCCTTCCGCCGACTTCATTATCTGTTTTAAAACGCTTGGATTCATTCTTATTGTAATTACGGGCATTGTCAACATTTTTACTATTTATACCGCGCATGGATATGCCGGTCTGCCCAGTGTGCATTACCGACCCTTCGACCACGTCTAGTCCTTTTTCTTTCCGTGGCCATCTCGGTGGACACAGCGCAACATTTCGGGACCATTTTGGACAGTTTTCAGCCTGTTCCCTTGGAGTTGCTGGGCCCTGCAGACCACTGTAGGTCTTGCAACCCGTGGTGTCTGGGCGAGTCGGGGTTTGGGGGGTATTTGGCATATCCTAGCGCCGGTATTTTGTTATTTCATCCATTATACATTGCCATTTATGGTCACTTATAAACGTTTGACATGTACATCGTTTTTGCGCTGTATTGTCACGTGGTCAGTGCATTTCCATAAAGCCCCCAAAGCCACTGTGAATAGAAAATTGGGTTGTGCTGTTAGC